GTTATAATTACAAATATAATTAAATATAGTTAATTAAGAAATAACTTACATTCTTTTATTTTATAATTATATAAAATTATTAAATTTAATATTTAATTTAATTTAATTAATAAAAATAATAAAAATAAATAATAATTTACTTTCTATAATTATTCAATTATTAAATAATTTTAGATAATTAGTAAGTTAAAATAAAATTTAATTAATTTATAAAATAATATACCTCCTATAATATTAAATATTTTTAAGTAAAATTTTAGTTAAAATTAAAAATATAAATTGTTATAATTAATTAATAAAGTTACTTACTATCTATATTATTTAATATTTTAAATTAAAATTTTAAATTTTATTATAAAAATTATAAAAAAATAATTAATTAAATAATTAATAAAAATATTTTACCTACTAAATTATTAAATATATTTTATAAATAAATATAATTAAATTTAAAAAAATAGTTAATTATATTATATAATAAAATATTTACCTCCTATAATAATGTTTATTATTAAATATTTAATTAAATAAAAATATTAAAAATATATTTATAATAAGTATAAATAATTAATAAAAATAAATTACCATCTAAATAATTTTTAAATAAATAACTTATTATTTAAATTATAATAAAAAATATAATAAAAATTTATGTAACATAACTTACAAACTAATTTGTTAATATTTTATTAAAATTAATTTAATTTTAAAAACAATAATTAAATATAATTTTAATTATAAATATAACTTACAATCTAAATTTTAAAAATTAGATTAAATTTATAATAAATTATAATTAAATATAATAAAAATAACTTACTATCTAAAATCATACATTAATTTTTTTTTAAAATAAAATTTTTATTAAATTTAAATTATAATATTTCAAGTTATAATTATATTTAATTAATTAATAATTATTATTTACATTCTATATTATAAAATATTATAATAAAAATATTAACTTATCATAATTAATTTATATATATAATTAAAATAAGAAATAACTTACTTTCTAAAGTATTAAATATTATTTAAATAAAATATTTTTTAAATTAAAATTATAATTAAAGTATAATTATAAATTATTAATTAATAAATAGACATACTATCTAAATTGTCATATATTTAAAATAAAATTATAATCAAAATAATATAAATTAAATATGTAATATCAATAAAATAACTTACTTTCTATAATATATTAATTATTAAATATATTTTTAAAATAATCATTTTAACAATTTTTATTAAATTAAAATATAAGTATAATCAATAAATTTATTAATTATAAATTTAATTTACCATCTAAATTATTTAATATTTATTAAAATAAAATAATAAAATTCAAATTTATCATTAAAAGTATAATATATTAATAAATTTTATACCATCTAAATTATATTTATATAAAAACTTAGTTAAATTTAAATTATATTAAAAAAAATTTAATTAATAAATTATTTTACCATCTTAATATTAATATATTTTTTTAATGATTAATTAAATTCAAGTTAAAATAAAAGAAAATAATTAAATATAATTAACCAATAAAATAATTTACCATCTGCATAAACAATTTTTTTAGTTAATATTAAATTATAATAAAAAGTATAATTTATTATAAATAATTAAAATAATATTTACAATCTAAATGATTAGATATTTTTAAATGAAAGATTTAAATTAATTTTCATCATCAAAAAAAAATATAATTAAATATATATTTATTAAATAAATATTTACAATCTAAATAAAATAATTTTTTTAAAAAAAATAAAATTTAAAATAACTAAAATATAATTAAATATAATTAATGAAAATAACTTACTTTCTATATTATTATTTAGATAAAAAGTTATTTATATTTAAAAATATAATTAATTAATAAAAAATATAACTTACCTTCTAAATTTTTTTTGTTTAAATATATTATTTTTAAATTTAAATTAATATAATAATATAATTAACTATAAATCATTAAAATTATATTTACCATCTTAATTATTAAATAATATTTTAAAAAAATTTAGTAAATTAAATTATAATTTAAAATAATTTAATATAATTAATTACTTACTATCTAAATTATAAAGAAATTTAATAAGTTTAATTTTAAATATTAAAATAATTAATTACATATACTAATTAATAAAATTAATTTACAAGCTAAATTATTATTATTTTAATAATAAAATTTGTAGTTATTTAATTTATAATAAAAGAATAATTAAATAATATATATATAATATAATTAATTTACCATCTATATCATTATTATTAAATATTATTAATAATCTTTAATTAAAATAAATAATAATTAATAAATTTTACTTACGATTTAAATTAATATTTTTGTTTTTTAAAAAAATATTTAAATTTTGCAATTAAATATATAAATAAATAAATTGATAAATAAAATAACTTACAAACTTCAATAAATTTAATTATTTTATTATATTTAAATTAATTTTTTTAAATAAAATTTTAGTTAAATACATATTAAAATAAAATATAATTAAAAGAATTAATAATTAATTAATATACCTCCTATATTATAAATTTTTTAAATTTTTAAAATAAGATTAATTATTTTCAAATTATAATTAGAAACTAAATAATTAATAATATAATATACCTTCTATAATATTATTAATTATTAAATATATTTAATAAAAACTTAGTTGATTTTAATTATAATAAAGCTTATTGAATAAATTATTAATATTACTTACTAACTATAATTATAATAATTTATTAATATTTAAATTATAATTATAATAAAACTATAATAAATATAGTTAATTAATAAAAATAACTTACTTACTACATTAATATTAGTTTTTTTTTAGTATAAATTAGATTTTTAAATTAAAAGTAAATAAATATTATTAATTAATAAAAAATAACTTACAAGCTAAATTAATGAATTTTTGAATTAAAAGTTTTAGTATTATATGAATATAGTAAAACATATAATTATATTTTATTAATAAATAATTACAATCTATATTATTAAATATTTTAAATATAAAAATTAATTTAATATAAAATATTAAAATATTGTAACTATTGTAGCTAAATACTTACTTTCTGTATATTAACAATTATTAAATGTTTTTTTAAAATAAATATAAATTAATATGTAATTAAATTAATTAATAAAAAAAAATTTACTTGCCACCTATATTATTTTCAATCAAATCATTAGATTTTTTAATAATTTTTTTTTAAATTTAGCAGTATATTTAACTTACGATCTACATGTACAGTATTAAATTAATTTTTTTATAAATAATTATAAATTATTATAAAAGTATTTAATTAATAAATAACTTACTGTCTATAACGTAATGTTAAAATATTTTGTAATAAAATTGTTGAGAATTAGAAAAAGAACAATTAATCAATGTTAAACGATACAAGTAACTTACTTTCTTGTAGTTTTACCAATTTTTTTTTTTTAATAAAATTAAATTAATTGAGCTGAAATTAAATACTTAAAATTATATTAAGTAATTTACCACCTAAATCGAATAAAATTACTGTGAATTTAAATTACAATGAAAAATATAATTAAATATAGTAAATAAAATGACTTACGAACTGTAATATTGTCAATCATTAAATATTTAAATACAATTAATTGAAATTAAATCGCAATAATAAGCATAATTAAATGTTATAATCTTACTCCCTTGATCATTAAATATGTTTTAAACGTTAAATTTAAATTACATAAATTAAAATACGATAGAAATTAAATGACTTACATTCTATATTATAATAATATTAAATAAAAATTAATTTTAAAAATAATTGCCGTCATAATAAACCTTTTTACCATTTAATTTTTAAAAAAACTCTACATGTTTTACCTTTTAATCCATCTAATATGTAATATTACTATTTTTAGTGAAAGAAAATTGAGTAAAGGCAACGAATTATATTATTATAAGTTTACCTTCATCATTCGAAATTGTTTCTAATGTATTAACATATTTAAAAGAATTTTTAAAATTTTCTCATCTAGCTCAAATTTATTATTATGATTATTATTATATTTACCTTCGTTCGAAGCTGTTTTCAATAAATTGTTTCGGATGATGTATTTTTTTTTTAAAAAATACATTCTTCATTCCAAATATCAAATACATGCTTACCTTTTTTATCCATACTTATGTTTGGTGTTTTTTAATTTTTAATATCGAAGGAAAATAAAGTAATAAGAATCATTGCTTATTTATATATGGCTTTTTATGAACATATAGTTGTGTTACGAGTCCAGGTTACACAATGCAACTCACTATGAAATTTCACACCTTGGTCGTTTATCACACATGCATATATGTATCAAAGAACAATCATTTCAAGTATTATTCACGTCATTAAATTGTCAATTAGTCATATATTCGGGAATCCGGTTTATAAATTTTCAATTTTTTTCGATATTTTATATTCTTATTTTTGATAAATATGAATATTTGGGAGGTTTGCTAGGAAAATGGGGCTCTGAGCATTTTTTATTAAAATTTTAATATTTATTGCATTTTCATCTAATATTATCAAAAATTAAAATGCTAAAAATTAAAATTTTAATAAAAATTTCTGAGCCCCATTTGATTGTAATTGTCACGAGATGTACTAAAAAGTTGTATTTCAAAAAATGATTTCTATACATAAATTCAAAAATTACTATAAAATGTCAAAAGTTGCGTTACTTTGTATTCAATCTCTAGATAAATATTTCAAAAAAAAAAAAAATTATTTATTATACGCGTGCTAGAATGCATTTAAAAATTCTGTGCAAATTTCGAGTTAAGTTTTTCCAATTTATCTTCATTATATTTTATCTTTTGCGTGCCAGTATTTGTTCACAAGTTATTATGTTAATGTTATAACAATCCGTTTCGAAATAGAAAATTTATTATTATCTTTGTGCATTGAATATATATATAATTTTATTTTATTTAGAAAAATATATTTAGATTTATTTTAAACTAAAAAGATTTTCTTCCGAAAAATCTATATAATTTATATGAGCTCTTGTAATCTATTACTTCCTCTTCAAGATTACTCAGTAAATTAAAACATTGGTCTTCGTCGATTCCAATTATATTACAAAAATTTAACATAATTCTTTTATAAGACAATATAAAATCGTCAAGAACCTATAATTAAAGAGGGTGATGAATAATTCTTCTTTTGAAAAGGAGAATTTAAGTTGATCATATTTACCAATCTTCCATATCTTCCATCCCAAAATCGACATTCTACGTCGATCGAGTTAATTTCTATAAAATTAGTTTCTCTTAAATACTTTTCCATATTTGAACATATAAATTTGTCGATATTATTTATTTCAAGATATTGAATAACTTTATATTGTTATTTAACGTTAAGCAGATATTATATTATTATCATAAATACTATCTTAAAAAGAAAAAAAGATATAGAAGAAGATACTTACATCCATTAGTCAACTTCCCAAAACAAGGACCTAGATTAATCATATTCCAATCGAATTCTTGCGATTCAAAATAGCCGCCGGGTTTTAGCATTCTCAAAACATCGGGCAATATTGTATTTTTCCAATCTTCTGCACTGAAAATTGATGACATCAAACTCATTCGTATGAAGTCAAATGTCCCCTCTTCATACGGTAGACAAAAAGCATCTCCCTTTTCAAAATTTGCGTTGGGAGGTTTCAACTCTGATGGAAAAAACGATATTTTGTCAACGCCCGTAAATTCTGATTTTGGATACTTCGATGCCATATCTAGTATCCAATAACCCGGACCGCAGCTACGCATGTAAAAGATACGGTAAAGTCAATATAAACAATTTCGAAAGCAATTTACGCATTTCAAAACTTACGCAATGTCTAGTACTTTTACACCAGATAGTAGTTTCTCATGTACCGGTGCGGAAAAATTTGCTTGCCAAGTATATCGGAGCACATAATGTCGCGATTGCACCTGATTGACTATCACAAATAAAATAATTTAATTCATCTGGAAACATATTTTAAGATACAAGTTGTTATTACATACATTCTTCATATTCTTCTTCAGTTGGCAAAGAATATCGTTTTGTATTATGAGATTCCATTTTGAAATATTAAGAAAAATAATTTTTAATATTTAGCTTGAAAGTTTTATTAAAATATAAATGTAATGGTGGAAATTGAAATAAAAATAATACCCGTTTCGATTCTTTAAATAATGAATTATTTATTAAGAGATAAAATACAATAACTTTTTTAGTCAACAATCAAACAATAAATACAATTGTCGCTATTATTCTATATAATTCTGAAAGTGCTGTATATTTGAATAAATATTATGTCAACTCTGATAATATTGGTTGAGAATAAATATTTTTGCTCCCCACAGATGGTTTTAAATTTAAAATCTATTGGTGGATAATATAATAAGGATTAACGTTTTATATTCATTTCACATGATTTTATCACAAAACATTCAATAAATTCCGGGTTATTAATTTTCGTTAGCTCCTTCTTTTTTTGAAATACTACTTACTAAAGTACGAAATTATGTTTCAATTACCATTATTTTTTAGTAGTTTTCGTAAACGCTACTCCGTTAATAAGAGTTGATCCTTTTATATTTTTTTATTAGTCCAAGTCTTTTATTTTGTCGGAAATAATAGTATAAACGACATACTGTAAGTGTTGAGAATTTTCTACGAACGCCGTTCTCATTTAAGGTTAAAACTTTATGCAGAGCCATTGTTAATATAAGATATTTTATCATTTGTACTACAGCATGTCACTATGTTTAGTTGTGCAATAAGGCTGGTTCTCCACAAATTTTTTTTTTTTGTTTTCAAGTTTTCGGCCAGAATCAAAATTTTTAGGATTACAAAATTTCGCTAGCACTGGTCAAATTTATAGTATTCTACGAGCATTTATAGCTTTCATAAATGATTATTGCATTAAAAAGGTATCATTACTTTTGGACATTTTTTTCTAAATGTTGTTCTTCATTATATTAATTTGAAATTTTTTTCCACGTCTGCTAATAATAGTTTTGACAATTTTGTTACTGCGCCATATAGTATCAATATATCTAAGGGATTAGGAAACATGAAAAATCCAAGCCCATGCAATAAAGTTTTAGTTTAACGAAAAGTCTATTTTTTGCTGAAATAATTGATTTTTCGTAGTCCTTAAAAAGTGCAGGTTGAAAGCTTTTTTTTAACGTACTTATGTAAAATTGATTTGCGACTAACTAGTTTTAGCTGGTTTCGGCGATAATTTGATTATAAACTAAACTATACTAGTTTCAATAAGTCTTTGAGAAAACTTTCATCACTGTAGGAAAATTCACTTTCCATCAGAATTTCTTTTTTTAACTCGTAGAACGCGAGCTTTGTTGTTCGCAGGTTCAAATTTAAAGTGGGATTTTTCCTTATAAAAAATAATATGGTTAGTGACATAAATTTTAATAATACCGAATATCCAGACTTACATTATATTAAATAATATTTTAATCAATAATATCATACAAAAACTATTTATATTTTAAATTATATAGTCTTTTATTCTAATTTTGACGAATTTTCTAACATTACTCTTTTATCCACTTTAAGATTTATTATTGATTCAAAATATAAAGCGAGATTGCGAGCTTGTGACGTTAGATATTGAATTATTTAATTCAATCCCTATCCTTTTAATAACAAAAAATAAGTTATATTAATAAAAGTGACATTTTATACGGTTAGTGCAGTATTGATTTTAATAGCGTTAAAATTACCCTAATGAAAATTTCGAAAACAATGAAAGCAAATATGAATAAATTCATTGAAAATTATTATTTTTCTGGAATAAACATTAGCAGCATCCTCACAAATGTGGTCCGAAAATACTACTGTTATATTATCAGGGTTGGGAAGTACAGTTTACTACAAGTTGATACAGTTGGTACATTATAATAATTAATATAAAAATAAAAATAGTACAATTACAGTAAAAGTATAGAATTTATCAAGTACATACAAAATTATCAACCCTGCCTATAATGATATCAAATCCAACACCAGAAGCTTCAGCAGTAACTTTACAAATTTTTAAATCAATCATTTTATTTCCTCCAGTAATTATCATAATAGAACATTTAATTTTCGTAAGGTTATGTTTCATGAAAAGTTATTTATTACTTTTATAACGAAAAATATAAAATAAATAACCAGACTCACCTAATACTTATGCGAAAGAACTGAGCTGAAGAGGAATGAACCTAAAGGAGAGAAAATATCGCCAACCCAAAACACAAATTACATATATTTCTAAGCTAAAAGTAATAAAAACGATCAAATTTTTTTTTTATTCTCGATCCGATCTAATTTAGGCTAAGAGAGTATTTTTCGAAATCAATGATATGTGCTATAAAGAATGTGCTAAAATTTCGTGCCAGAATTAAGATTTTTTTACAAAGCACTGGCCAAATATATAGCGCCGGCCTATTAAGGATTTTCCAACCTCCCAGTGTGTTCTACGAGCATTTATAGCTTTCATAAAAAGAATAAGTAATTTATAGTGAATTAAAATGTTTTATTTATATTTAAATTAAGTATGGATTAATTTTCATAATTACTATTTCCACTTTGGAAAGTGTTTTATTTTTCATTTCTTTTATTTTAAACTTGAACCTTTTTTTCCACGTCTGCTTATAGTTAATGACAATTTTAAGTTAGCTGCGCCATATAGTATCAATATAATTCAAGCAGTGGATATTTTGTTTAAGTTGTTAAAACAGTTTGATACCATTTACGCATACTTTTCTAATCTGAATATAACAAAATAGATAATGATGTAATAATTCATATTTTTAATTAGATTTTTCGAAAATTTGATTCATTTATTACTTTTATAATTTTAACGAAATCGAAACTTATGGTAAAAGCATCGTTTTTTTTTCAATATTCATACAAATTAATAATCATATTAACAAATTAACAGTCAGAAATTTTTTTGTGGGGATATTTAACGCTAAAAATCAGTATCCGGTTTTTACGAAAATATATTATCAGTTATGTATTTCAAAATTGGTACTATATTATAAAGTGATATTTTTTTAAATTTTTTTTTTTAAGATATAAGTTATTATTGTAATAAAATAAAAATTTTATATTTCATATATTTTCTCTTAAAAATACATTTGATCAAAATTTTTTTATTATTCAAAAATTTAAATCAATTATAATAATCTTAAACCTAAAAAATCTTAATTCTGACCAACAACTTAATTTCCGCTGGAGTTAAAATGAAATTGTTAAAGAAAAGTCTTCCCAGTTAACAAGTTTACCATTTAAATTAGCTGGTTAAAAAGTAGATGGTTCCTATCTCTGTTTAATGATTGCTATAAGAAAATAATTAAATAATAGAAACAAATACTCCTACTACTTATCCTCACTCATATTTGCTAATTTTCGAATATTCTTTTTTTGAATACATCTCGAAAATAACCTTGAGAAAGTATTTTATAAAATCAATAAAAGTTAAATTTAGGTGAAACTTATTAGCTTTGATATTAAAATATCCATAAGATAATGGGAAAAGTAATTCTTCACCATGAATCATTTTTAATATCTCATTTTGCTCAAAATTATATCTAAAAGTTACAATCATTTCGAACACATAGATTTTATTTTTCAAACATTTCATGTATATGAAAATTTTAAGTATTTATACAGTATTTCGATGTTAAAATTGTGGTTCATGTATGACAGTTTTTTGAAATCATCAATTACAAAATTTCACCAGAAGTTACGACTTCTTATATTGTCATTTATAAACGTTTGTAAATAGGTATTATCATAATGATTTTTTAATGGATTGGCACACGTTCCTGCTTGTAAATCGAATTTTTAAAAATCCGCTTTAAATTTGTGAAACAGAGTTGAACAAAACTAGCCGAAAAAGAAATTTTCATGAAAAGTGATTTGCATGATGACAGTAATAAAAGTTTACTTCTTAGGATAGAACTTACCGAAACTAGATTGGTCTATAACCAAAAAATCATAACCGCAATTAGTTAGTTTAACAAATGTAAAAAAGTGAAAAACTTTTATACATAAATTAAAATATCTAAAGTATTTATAAAATTTTCATATTTGGGATATTTAAATATTGATAAAAAATTTTAATTCAAATTTAAAATACAAACGATCTTGGAAATGATTGAGATGTTGTTAACCGACTATTCCGGGACTATTAATTTTGGCCGGTGCTAACGAATTTTTGTATATCGAAAAATATAAGTATATTCAATTAATTACCATTTATACTATTAATAAGAATGCTTGTAAATCAACTTCAATATATAGTAAATATATGAAAACAAGAGCATAAAAAATAATATTCTGCTTTTAAACATAAAAATTTCCGAACATATTTATATATATAACAAATTAAGAACCCAAAATGTCTAATAAAATGATATAATTCTAAATATACTTGCGGAGAACTAAAAGATAAAAGAATATAAAAGCTGTGTGTCACCGATTATATGGTTTAATTTGTGACGCATTTTTGCAAAAAAAAGTGATTTAAATTTTAAATCAAATTTTACAACAAACCCTCATTTGACGTTCTAGTAAAATTGCAGAACGAGAAATAACGCATCTAGTTTATGTACGGTATAGTATAATGTTTAAAGGTTCAAATGAAGATTATTAAGTCGTTCTTTCGGAAAAAACGCAATTTGCAGATCAAACCTACATGATTATGTTAGAATTTCGTAACAAAAAGTGAACGATCTGTAAAAAGAATATTCTTGTAATAAAAGGGACAGACTGATAGAAAATAGATTACCTCATTATCAACGGAGTTAGTAGTACCGTTTTACAAGTAATATAAGTAATATAAACAAAGTAACTTATGACTTATGACCATGTGATGAACATCAAAAAAATGAAAAAATTTGATTATAAACTACAATAATTAGAGAAAAAACAAACCCTGTTGACTTGTTTAATTTCAATCGCCGATCACCCAAATGAAAAATCAGCGGGGATAACAAAAAATATTTAGTACACACCAATATCATCAATTTCAAAGTAGAATGATACATATAAATTTATTAGATTGTTCGGTCATAAAAAGTAAGCCTTAACATAAATCAGTATTTAAAGTGTCGAAAAGTATTATTTGAATTTTTATTTTCCACCTTTCATTAATTAATTAATAAAACCATTAAATTTAATAATAATTCGATACGATATGATTATTCAAATGAAAAGGAATGTGAAGAACGTATGTAATAAAAACTTCGTGTTTTAAGTTTTTTGCCAGATGAATTAACATGATTTATTTTTGTTAGTCATTCAAATGCTATTACGACATTATGTGCTTAGATACATGTAGCAATGTAATTTTGTTGCACCGTCGCATGCCAATCTTACATCTGGTGGAAAAGTGCTTGACGTTACGTAAGTTTGATCGTGCGTAAAATGGTTCAAACTTGTTTATATTGACTTTACCGAATCTTTAAAAAATATTTAGCTGCGGTACGGGTGACTCAGTCCCTCCTAATGCAAATTTTGCAAAGGGAGATGCGTTAAAATTAACGTATGAAGATGGGACATTGACTTCTTATTAATGTAAGAATATAGTTTTTTCTACTTTTTATTCTTTTTCAAAAATAATAATAATTATGATAATAATTAAATATGTGCTCAAATTTCAATAAAAATACAAGTTATTAGATATTTTGAAAACAAATAATCTAAACGTATCGAAATGAAAGAAGCTAATTTTGTAGAAATCCATTCTGTTAGTAATCTATGGGATGGATAGCTTGGTAAATTGGTAAATATTATCAATATAAACTCACTCTATTTTCCTTTTTTTGAAATTTTATTCATCAAACCCTTTAATTATAGGCACTTACAATTTTATATTATCATTTAAAATGATGATACCTCGTCTTCGTCAGATTATCGGAATCGATGAAGATAAATATCTAAATTTGTTAAGTAATTTTGAAGAGGAAGTAATTAAATTTAAGACCTCTTATAAAATGTATGGATTTATCAGAACAAAACCTTTTTAGTTTTTTCCTCTAGATTTTGTAATAATATACAGTCTATAATCACCCTATATATAATCACATTATAAAAACATTCATTGATATTCAATGGAAATAACTATTAATTTCTTAAATTATTTAAATAAATTTGTGAGTCGATGTAGACGATGTAGACTATTTTTTTCAGTCTTCAACAGTCTAATATTTTCTTCAAGCCTTTTAGTCTTGTTTATCGCTGAAATGAAAGGCTTTTTTTTTCGAGAGATACAAGAAAACACATTTCTTCATGAAGGGCATGACAAAATGGTTCTTTTGAAGACTATTTTATTGTTTTTAGCAGTAATCATTTTACTAACTGCTAAATTTTCTCATTTTGGATTCTTTGTTTTGGAGAACTTTTAATCTTTGCCTTTCTTTGTTGTTGATAAATCATGGTCGACCTGATTGTTTTGGAGATTCATAAGCTTGTTCTATGACACCTACAATGTCTTTTTTATTTTGAGCCTCCCTATCGTATAGGAGTTAATGATGACTATCACGTGTGATGCACAAAATTGACTTTTAAGCAACTGTTAATCACATGGCTAGTAATTTATAAATTTTTTTTTTCCTGAATTCTGAACGATTCCTGTATGTAAAAATAAAAAAAAATTTTTTTTCATCATTTTTGTGAAGAAATTTGTATGATTCATTTTTATAGGTTTAAACGTTAAAGAAACCACCAAAATTAATTGACGTACCTCGTGGTTGCACGGATCTCAGACCGACACCAATAAATAGGATATGCACGACCACCAAATTTTTGTTAAAATGTGAAAATTTAATATTAACATTTCAATGTATTAAAAAAATATATAAAGATCTGTTTTATTTCTAGAGGCATTAACGAAATATCACAAAAATGAAAGACCGGATTAGATAAAAAAAAAAAAAAATCTATTGTGATATTGCGCGTTACAAAAAATATTATCATCACTTTGAATTCTTCAATTGTTTTACAAGTTCCCTAATTTTTTGTCTCATTTCAGAAGGAGGCAAAACATGCTGTGTATCAACTTTTAGAATCTCTTCAAAGGCCACTTGATTTGAATATGATGATGATTCGATGATTCTTTGATAGAGTTGACCAATGATGGAAAGTAGATATACCCCACAATCTTTTTTTTTAATGGATGGTCAATTAGAAAAAATAAACATAAAAATAAAAATAAAATTTTTTTATTTGATTGGGTCTTTACCTGAACCTAAAAAATTCATTATTTTAATTAGTTATGTATATAGGACAATTATATTAAAGTAAAAAAAAAAAAAAATGCAAAAACGTACCATTAATTTGTTGTGGGGTACCCATAATTTCAACATTTCCTAAAAAAAAATTACATAATATAAAGGTTTTATACTTATTTTTCCTCTTTTTTATTATCCTAAAGATAATTTTCACCTACCTTCGATTCCCAGAACCTTGGAAATTTTATCAGAATATTTATAAGCAAATCTAATATTATAATTATCAGCACTATCATAATACAAAAATTTATTATTTGCTTTCACATAAACTAATAAGGACCAATGAGATCCTCCTACAAAACTTTCTAAATTTTGCTTGTTATTTACTGGAATGAATATTATATCAGACGAAAATATATGATTTGGAAGTGCTTTAGAAAGATATGTTGTATCTTTGTAAAAAAATAAAAAAAGGTTCGTTATGGTAAAAAGTGAAAACAAGAATACGAAAAGAATGAGGTGTGAAAACAAGAGAAGAATAGGACATATTAAAGTGGATATACCTTCAATGTTTGTTACGAGAAAACTCATCGACGCTCGTAAAAGATAAGGTTTAATAACGGATCCTTCTTTTATAGGAAGATTGGATTCAAGATGTCTTAAAAGGGAAAATAAAGGTTAATATTTTCGATGAATAAATAAGAAAAAAAAACGATTTTTAATTTTTCTTCACATACTCCAAGTAAAAATCGATACATCGGTCATTCAACCAATTATCATCGTAAAGATTACTATAATCCTACAATGAGCAAATAATAAGGATATTTTTTAATTAATAAATTCCTCCACCATATGGAAAAATATGAAAATTTGTATTCTATTGTACCGCTGGAGTAAGCATAGAATCTTTATAATATAAAGTGGTGGTTAACATTTTCAAAGGTCTAAAAATGAATAATAAAAAAGAATGATTCGGATGTTTAAAAAAAGAAAAAGTTATAATAGACAAAAATTCTTATTGTCCAAATATATGCTTTTTTGAGATTTATGTAATACATTTTACAAGCGATCATTCAAATTAAACATTTTGCTGTGGTAGTGTTCGCAATAGTGGATAATAACAAATGTTTCTAGCGAAAAATCACATGTTAACCAACCATGTGAATTTTAGTTTCCCTTTTAATACAGTGAGCAATCTTGTCCACTTGATCATTTTTTACACGGCACAAATTATTATACGTGCTACCATAATTGAAATATGCCCCCGAACTAGGAAAAATCTAATAAAAGGTTCCTTCAAACATCAAGCATGTTTCCTATCAAAAAGCTGATAATAATTATTTATTTATTCTTGACGCATCATTTGACCGATAATTGGAAATTTAATACAAATATTTTAAATTATAAAATTTATCGAAAAAAACAAATATTACAGAAACTAATGAAAAAATATATTATATACATAATAAGGTTGAATGATATATTTTTTTTACTTTATTATATTATTAAACTGTTTGAATCATTAGTTTTTCTTTGGTGAACGATAATTAAGATATTATCATAAATTAAGGTTAGTCATCGTTCGAACTTCTCTGCAATTTAATATACTTTAACACATAAATTTTAAGTAAAAAGGGAAAGGTAATGCAAATTATTAAAATGTTAGTCGCTAAAGAACGTCTTGCCTTCATTTGTTTATCCCTCCTAAAACCGCGACACAAACAACATTATATTCACTCCAACGTCCCTCTATAAGAATTTCTAACACCTGAAATGTAACTTTTTTTTTGTTCCTTAATCGCTTTTCGTTTCATAAAATTTAAATAAGTCGAATCTAGAAATTCTGATTTTAACCATAATATTTTTGACATAACATATCGTTAGGATGAATAAACAAATTTACGACATAAAATTTATATGACTTCTAAAGAAAATATTGAGACCTTATCGCAAAATAAATTCTTGCAAATTTGTTACGTTTTATTAAATAAAATATAGTAATGAATCAGTATTATTTTGGCATTGCCGAAGAAACAAAGAGACGTTTCAATATCTTAAGGGCGTTTATAGTCAATAATGATCCATAAGCATTTTATATCATTCCACGAATTTCGCAAAAAAATATTGTGTAAAAATTTATTTTGTTAAAAAACTCTTTTTTGAATGAGAGAAACGTGTTCCAAAAACATGCAGATCACGATTTTTATCATATGTACAAAATGCAATTTAATCTAGTTTATGATAGGTAATGTTTGAAGCAACAAGAGGCTCAACATCGGTACCAGACCTTAATTGTTGCTTTATTTTCTTAATTACGCGAGAAATTTCTACAAAAAAATTAAACGTTTTGATTTTTATTGGTTATTTATCTACCCCTTCAACAACAATTACCCAATTGTTTTTTATTTTTTTTAAAACTTTTGACTTACTTTGCTTTGAAACTTTCGGCTCGCTGACCTTGTTATTTTTATGCTTTCGATGCAAGTCATCATCGACATCAGTTATCACAGGGATATCTTTCATGTGTTTTCTGACATGTTTCAAAACAGGACTTTTTAATAGGATTTTTGATCGCTTGGAAGCGGAAGCAACTAAGATTATATCGGGTTTAACGGATTTACAAATATTTACTAATGCTTCGCGTACATCTTCTTTTGCAATAATCACTTTACTTGTAATCTATAAAGTTAATCCCGATTTTCGTTTTAATTAGAACGAGCATTTACACAAAAAAAAATCATCGCGCTCAACTTACATTTCTTCGGGTTAATTCACAAGAAATAACCTTTAATAAATTATTAGCACGTTCTTGCTCATTCTTAATATTATTTTGATATTCACCGTCCAAAAAATTGAAGTCAATATTTGGATAACTACCTAAACCGAACGCCCACATATCGTTTTTGGGGTAATATTGTTTTATTGTATTGATGACTGAAACTAAGTATACGTGGTCCAAGTTTGGTCGAAAAATGTTTGAAAGTGCCCACTCATAAAAATGTTGAGAATTTGTAATTGAATTTGGATTGTAAGCTAATAAAACTTTGCGACGACAATAATCATCACCCAAGGGTTCCTTTTCTATTGACATGATTGGAAGGGTAATTATATGAATTTTATGAAAGCTGAAACCGAAAAATGAAAGGAAAAAAAAAGGATTTTTATATCTACTTTTGGCACACCCTATAAATTGGGTTAGTGCGTGAAAATTTTTTCTACACGTGAAAATACCTTTTTTTATTTTTTATTAGAAAACAAGAGGGAATATGCATAACACAAACAAAACATAAATATTGCCAAAGACTTAAACAACTTAAACAAGTGTATTAATTTATTTAAAGAGGAAAACTCGTTTCAAAATAAAATTTTATATGAAACACAAAGAACTTCGCGTATACTGATCTATTTTTAGCCGGACCCGATTTCCGATTGGATCCATATCCTTATATACCAAATTCAAAGTAGCATAATGGACATTTTTATTGGTTGAAATATTTAAAAAAGAAAAAGAAATCTAATTTTTTAAAAAAATATTTTAAAAAAATTCTTTAATTAATTAAAATAAAGGTATCTATTAAATAAATTTATATTTTATGATAGTTATTAGTAAATAAAAACTAATAATAGTCCATCTAAAGTTAAAGCTTGTGATAAAAATTTGCTTAATTTAAGGTTATAAAAGTTAATATATATCAAAATTAATATAATCAATAATTTAAATGTTTAGATAAAAAAAAGTACAATGTTGATATATGGGTCATATGCTATTAAAATTAGGTTATGAGACATAGTAAATCATATGATAGAAAGAGATGATAATTTTTATTAGATGATGAAATATTAGATAATGAAAATAAAGAGAATAAAAAGAAAATGAAGTAATAGAAGAAAAAATATTGGCAGACTTTAAAAATGCTTTAGAATTTATAAAAACTTGGTAAAATTATATTTTAATATTCATATATTAATTAATAATACCTTAAAACTTTGGATCTCATCTAAATTTCGCTATGGCGGTGATCTCCCAGATCTTTTTTACCCAAATGTAAAGAAAGAACGAACCGACATATTAATGAAAAAAAAGCTGCATATCAATAAATTATTTTTGAAAAAAATATCGCATCATTTTTTATTACTTTAAATCGATTGAAATCAAATGTTACACGATACTCATTACTAAAAAAAAGGTCATATTTAGACAAATCACGTGATAAGATATTCATTAAAAAAATTTAATACTTTTCTCAATATCCTAGGGATTTTTTGACCGTTCCTCCATAAATTCCAATATTTTGTGGCTGCGCATCTCAACGTTCCTTTTAATAATTGCCTAATTTTTCTGTGGGTTCAGGTCAGGAATGTTGGAGAGCCAATCCATAACGGTCGGGACTCTTTTCATTTTTGATCTCAGTTTGATGTGCGACTTAATTTTGTCACTTACCGTTCAAAGACTACTTCGGGAATTTCTAGTTTATATGTTACTACAGTACTTATAATAAAAGATTTTTTTCATTATAAAGGAAAATCCCACTTTAAATTCGTGAAAATAGAACTTGCGTTCTACGAGTTAATTTTTTATCTCAATCTTATTGAAACTAGTTTAGTTTTATAATCAAAATTATAGCTAAAACTAGTTAGTCGCAAATCAATTTCTACAAATAATAATAAGTGCTTACCTATCAGAGAAGATTGAATA